CCCACGACTCGTTGAAAGTAATAGTGGGAAAGCACGCCTCTGAGAACTGATGACGCCAACGTTCACAACAGGGGAGGGGGCTCCCCCTCCCCCTCCCTCCGACTTCACCCCCCTGGCTCTGAAACCCGCGGCGTGCGCCCAGTGCCACCCGCTACTCTTCCAAACGTAGGCGGGGCACAAAAAAGAGGTCGGCGGCGCCTTCGCTCCAGGAGCCGGAGAAGCCGCAGCTGCCCCGGCCACCGCGCGAGAAGACAGGGATGAAGCGGAGAGACGAGATGGCATCTCTGCGTTTGAGGGAGGCGTGTGGGGGGCAGCGGCCGAGGGGAGCGAGGACAGCGCCTGCACCGAGAGAAGCCTGCGGCGGCCGGGCGGTTCCCAGCCAGCAACGGCCACGACGAGATGTACAAGACATCCGAGCTATCCAACTCACGTGTTCACACGCGCGCGCGCGCGCCCTTGATCACCCGCGCGAGCAAACGTGTGAGCGAGGCTGAACCTTCTGGGGGGGTCGCACGAAGCGGCGGTGACTCGCTGGCGGCGTTTTGGATAATCTGAGACAGAGTCGGTTCAAATGGCAAGTACCTTAAAGACCAGTATGCTGCATTGACCTTCAGAACAGCACCGTCTGGTCAACATTAATTGGCGCATCGCGACAACTAGCGCAATGAATAATATGGACTTAACGGGGCAACTCAAAACGCAAGCGCTGCACAAATGTCCATGTAACGGTAGACGCAATGAATCGGCTTATCTGATCGTGTTGTACTGGATGACGTGCATGCCGTTCGGATGTAGTGTCGCCAACATGTGGGAAGTACATTCGTGGTGTTCAAAACTTGCCAAAAGGAACAGGACATAATAGTAAATGTGTCGTCTGGCTACGTATGCCTTGCAAACCCCAACCCTCGCATCAATGCGCTACCCTGCCCGCCTCAAATACGCGCACCGTGGCCCCCATCCAGGCCAACCTGCGCTGCACATGACGACACCGAGCGCCAATGCGAAAGCAACAAGAGCAACCATGAAGTATGCCTATGCACTATCCTCCACGTGCATTCTAACGGCAGACACAACACATCACCTGCGAAACCGCGCAACGATTACCTGCCAACGCAACAAGCCCCATATTCTGCAGTGTACGGAAAGAGTACTGCACTTGTGCTGGAAACAGCGTTTGTGTTCTCCGACATCGGCGAACCCTATACTCGGAACCACATGCGCCCAAACAGAAGATACTGACCTTAGCCGACCCATCACCTTGGCCCGAATCATGAACATATAAACGCATCGCCGTTTGGTGGTCACGAAACAACCACCACGTGTGCGACTTGAAATGGAGTCGCGCCGGTCCTCCTCCGGTCCTCCTTCCCAGGGGGAATCTTTTTCCTCCTCCTTCTCCTCCTCCTCCTCCTTATCTCCGCGTCCTCCTCCTTCTCCTCCTCCTCCTCCTCCTCCTCCTCCTTCTCCTCCTCCTCCTCCCCGTCCTGGTCGTCGTCGATGTCTTTCAGGGTCGGCGGCACCGGCCGTCAGGCCTTCACAATATAAGCGCATCGCCGTTTGGTTGCCACGAGACAGCCACCACGTGTGCGATTTGACATGGAGTCGCGTGAGCGGGGGCCCCTCGCACCCAGCATCTCACGACCACGCGGCAACCACAAGACAACCGCGGGACACCACTCAGGTCGGGCATGTCCCCCGTACGGGCGGATTTTGGACGAAATGCAGGCAGCAATCTTTCTCGCCGTCGCGCAAATTCGCCACACCCGCACGCGCGACACGAGCCGACATCGAAACCGAATTCGTGGTTTGGGGCTCGCCGTTTCACTTCGATCTGGCACCCCCAGCCCCCGATCAACACCCAACAACGCCACTGGCATGGCCTTTCATCCTCGAGCCTGCTATGAACTTGACTGGGGCTCGCGCCGGGAAATCTGAGCCACACGCGGGGCATTCGGCTCACGGAGATCGAACACCCCCTCATGTGAAGGCCTAAGGAGCATGCCTAAAATATTCGCCAACCTGCTCCAGCCTTGCCGAACCGAACGCTCCACAGCCCTGGCTGCCCGATGTTACTGCCCTAGGCCGAGATCGCTTACGCTTCCGTCGTTAAAACTTCTCCATACATCATCCTGGCCAACTTACCGAAACGAATGCCACTGTGGGGATGAGAGGTCAACCCGATGCAACGTCTATTCTGACCCCCTGCATGCGCCACAAAACCGCAATTGCGCGCGCAAGGCTGCGCACACGGGCGACGATGGGTGCCGCCTGACGTGCTCTCGTTCCCGGTACTGCACCCACAAATCAGAGCCGACCTCCACTACACATCGCCGCATGGCGCCGCACGTAAAACGCAACATCTGCGCGCTGTCGCTGTGGATGGAGCACCCTCATTGAGAATCGTGGCGGGACTTCGGCATCGGAGAGGAGGGGCAATTCGGGCGTCGGGTTCCCTGGACTGGGCACACTGGGAACCCGAGGGATCCAACTCAGGAACACCCGAATAGACCTGGGGGGCTGTCAAATCGACAGCGCCCATTGCATCACGAAACTTTCTGTGACCATGCATCCCCGACGGAACTGACTGGGTTTGCAATGCAACTTCTACTCCATTCAACGTATACCCAGATGCCTTACCATTCACATGCCGCCCTCGGGTCTTGCGGCATCCATGCGAGATGCTAGAAATGATGGTGCACAACACTCGGAACTGCTGTGAGACTGGTGCACGGCCACATCTACATTTTAACGGCACATAGGTTGCGTTTGAACAACTATAGCACGCCTAGAGGAAGATCCAACAAAAAAGAGTGAGGTAACATCATACGGAAGGGCCCTGCAATCATGGCGCTGCAAGAAGGAACGACACCCCTCCTGTTATCCATCAACTAGAAAGTTCCTGGGGAATGACTGAGCACCTCTTTTGGGAGGCGCCCCCCGTCGTTGACTCTCGTTTTGAAAATGGCCCCACCCCTCCCCCGAAGCCTGAGCCTCAGGTTAGGTCGGGCCCGTCCCCCTACAGGCGGATTTGGACGAACCAACACATCAAAAAATACAAGCTTCTCAAACACATTCAAACAACATCGTCCCCAGACTATTTGTTTGACTACTCCAAATTTCGTAATAAAAGGGAGGGGGTCTGGACCCTCCAAGACAAGCCATTTCAGACCCCCCCCGGTGGGAGAACCCTCCAAAACATCGTCCCCAGACCCCCCCAGGCCCTCCAAGATGGCCTGGAAGAGACCCCCCCCGAAATGAGACCCCCCTCCCTTTATTACGAAATCTGGAGTATTTGTTTGACTGCTTTTGAATATTCCTCCTGTAGAGGGACGGGCCCGACGCAAGCCTGAGGGGCGGGGGCCCGCGGCTCGACCGGGAAAAACACCCGAGGCGCCACTGGCGAGCACAGCGGAAGGAACCGGCTCTGCTTTTTCCCGCCAGGACGCGCGTGCGACGAGCGCCCTGGCCAGCTCTGAAACTGCATCGATCGCAAGGATCAGGGGGGCGTAAGACCCGGGTACAGGGGACTCGGAAATCCCCGACGAGGTCGTCGACAAAAATGACGAGGCCGAGCCTGCATTTTGACGAGGCCTCCCGCTGCAGACATCCCACGAAACTCCTCCTCGTCAAAATCCGAGGCGCGGTCGTCAAAAAAACGATGGCGAACAAGAGTCCTGGCAAACCCGGGTCTTACGCTCCCCCGACTCTGGCCAGCTCTGAAACTGCATCGATCGCAAGGAGGCGGAGGCTCGCGTGAGGAACTGGGGCTCGACGCGGCAACTCTTCCATCACAAGGCACACACACACGTGAACCTCACACCGCGTCGCGTCAAGAACGGCAAGGTCTTTGTTTTGCGAAGTGGACGCGCGGATGACGAGAGCCCCAACGGCCCCATGGTCACTTACGGAAAAGCATCGGTCGCGGGGAACCGAAAGACTCGCGCGAGGACGGGGTCTTGCGCGGGCCGGCAACGACTACCCCCTGCCCACTTCCAAATCATTAGAAACGGAAGGGGCTCCCGTTTTCAACTGTACCCGGCCGCGTTTCTCACCTGACCTGCCCCCCTGCATCGTCTGCAGGAGACACAGGCCCTAGAAACGCCCAGTGACAAACCCGGGGGAACGTTTCTTGACGCACCTGGGTCACCTGCGTCGTTTTGGGCCTGGCACCGAGCTCAGGACTAGGTCCAAGCACGGGTTCAGACTCGAGTTTGGACTCAAGCCCAAGGCCTTGTCCATGGCGCCCGTTCGATGCAGCCACAAAGCCCTCGCCCCATGCTAACCGAGGACTACGCAAAGGCTGCCAAAGGCATCCACATGGCATACCCATGACCGACCTACTGCAGAAAATGGCCTACCCCATATTCATGGTCGACCATGGCCTACACATGGCCTGCGACTGCCATGAAAGTGTGAAATACACATGCCCTACCCATGGCCCAACCAGGGACCACATGTGGCGCACCCATGGCTTGCCTAAGGCCTACCCATGGCCTACCCCATGGCCTGCCCGTGGCATACCAAAGGGCTACCCAAGACGCGCCCCTGAAACGCGCGAGGCCTTTCAAAACTGAGCCAGGCCTTCTCAACCACGGCCGACCCACGGCCTATCCCTTGCCTGCCCAGTGTCTGCGCATGATCTGCACATAGCATACCCATGGCTGGCCCATGGCCTACACACGGCCTGCCCAATACCTACACATGTAAAACAAGGCTAGGATCGGGATAAATCGCTCCAGAGCGTTCCGGAGCGCTCTCAGAGCGTTCTGGAACGCTCTGGAGCGGCCGCGGCGCCCAATACGTCCTCCAAACCCGCCGATTCTCAGAGATTTCGAGCTATTCCGATCCGATTTTGTCCCGATCTTCGTGTCATTTGAGCATACCCATGGCTGGCCCATGGCCTACACACGGCCTGCCCAGTACCTACACATGGCCTCCCCACGGCCTCGCATTGGTCTACCCTGGGCCTGCCCACTGCCTACCCATGCCCTGCGCATCGCCTACACGGCCAGTTCCCGGCCCACACATGACCTGTCCACGTCCGACCCATAGCCTACACTCGGCCTGCGGATGACGAGAGCCCCGACGGGCCCCTGGCCAACTTTGGACATTTTGAAACGGCATCGGTCGCAAGGAGCCGAGGGGTTCGCGTGAGGAACTGGGCCTCAACGTGGCCACTCTCTATCTGGGCATACACGTGGACCTCAGACTGATGGGGGGTCACGCGAGGAACTGTGCCTTAACGTTGCCACTTTTATTAACTGGACGCGCGTGTGAACCTCACACCGCGTCGCGACAGGAACCGGAGGGGGGGATCGCGCGAGGAGCTGGGCCTTGATGTGACTATCTTGTTTGTGTATATATAGATATATATATATATATATATATATATATAGAGATAGAAATACGGTTACGCAAATGAACCTCAAGCCGCGCGCCGCAAGGAACGGCCCAAAAGGACCCGCGGCACATTATCTTCGCAGCGGGGCAAATAACTTAGCCCCTTGTCGGGGCCCCGTTCCTTAGATCATCCGCCCCGTCTGGCGAATCGACTTCGCGCGCGCACATGGCCCAAGGAACGCTGAGGGATCTACCTGGAGAAATTGCGAGGGAACGTAACCAGACCCAAGGAACTACCGAACCCCTTCCGAACCCGAGCTGGATCCTATTCAAGCGGCACGACTGTAGGATGGCTTGGGAGACAGCAGCCAATCCTGGTATAGCAGGGCGGAGACGGTCGTCAAATCATAGGCGGTAGTCGAACTGCTTAAGGCCAAAGACCACACCTAATGCGAGCAAGCACTTCCAGACATCACCTCGCAACATGAATTGCCCCTGCGCCTGCCTCGGGACGCGAGGGGCACCGTCAAAAGAAAGGCCAGCTAGATGCAAAAGCGGCCCAGAGACCACATGGACTAGTGAGCAGAATGGGATTCTGGAGGATGGGGCGATGATCTGAAAGACGTATTGTGCTGCTAACGTGTTCCTGTCCAGAGGAGCCCTGTGAGTCGCTGAATTTGGTCTCAGACGAGCTGAATAATGTCATCCCCATGGCGAATACAAATCCCTGCTGGCTTCACCAACTCTTGCTTGTAGACTTCCGAATGATTTTGCATTAAGCGCCATCTAGTCGAAACTGTGGGAAGCAAGGCTGCGTCCACCGCGTCCGCAATGGTATCAAACATGCCGCGGCCACAAATCGGTAGCCTGGGGCACAAGTCGTTAGTGAAAAGAAACCTGTGGCTATTGTGGGGTGAACGTCTTCAAATGCCTACGGGTTCACACCATCTTCACGCATCGATCGCATCAGTCAAACAAAAAACTTGCCGATCGGGTATTTAGGGGGAGGGATAGACACGCATCTGCCAAACACGCCCACCGTAGAAGCTGGCTGTTGATTGTCGCCTTTGCTCGCGGCCGCCGCTGCCTGAACGCCGGTCGAAATCAACATGAGACGAACTACGAAGTGTTCGAACCAATTCGAACCGATGTATAACCATGTGGATGTCGAAAAGAGAAAACCATGTGGATTTCGATCCAATGAAACCAGATGCGTCCGAACCAATTCGAAGAGAGAACACCATGTAAAGGGGACGATGGAGAACGGGTGCGGAATGGAGGGACGAAGACGAATAACAACATTCCCTTTCCCCCTCCCCTGGGGTTTGAAATCCAACTAGAGGGGCGGGGGGGAGGGTCTCCGGGCTCCTCAGTGATCCCCAAGGGCCTCCAGAGCCTCCAAGATGCCGAATATTCAGTCTGTGCTCGCTCAAGCTGGGCTCCAACACGCCACGGATGCTTCAAAAACAACCAAAATCAGATAGCCTCAAGACGGCCCTAGAAGCCTCCTCGACGTCCCCAGAGAGCTCCAAGAGGACCCCCAAGAAGGCCCCAAGAGGCCGAAGTCACTCCTACTCCCACGGGAAACTGGTATGTTTTAGCACAAAGAATCCCCCCCAAAACCCCAAGACACGCCCCAATAGGCCCCTGGAACGGCTCCCAAGAGGAAAAATGCGTGGCCGTCGTTTCTCCTCGAGGGGTCGGCGGAATGGCGCAAGCCACTTGAATACCAACATCACGTTGTGCCCAGAGAGACACCGTCCAATGGCATGCGCGAGGGTCAGTGCATACCTACGGTTTTAGCAGTGAAGCCTAAACTATCACGTGCTCCTGTCGGCCTACGTCGTACGCCTCTCGCGGGGAAATGTGATCATCATTGCCCGAGACACCCACAACATGTATAGAGAGGACACATGGGACACTTGGCGCGCTCTGAGACCATGCCCACGCCCCGCCGGGAAACTGCGAGGGTCCACTTGCGACTGGTCGCGCAAGATGCCGCAATAGAAAACGCCCACGATCGCCCTGGTGAGCGGAAAGTGTGAGCAACACTATTACCATGATGCAAGAACACGGGCAACCACGATCCCGATGGAACACGGGATGCAACCTCATCCCATGCTCGAGGATCCACTTTCCGCACTCCGAATTCCGCCTGCCATGGCGCAACTTCTAAGACGACCAAGATGCACGGTGATATCCATCTGCTCGCCCTCACCGACAAGTCCCGCGAGACGACCGACGACACGACCAGTTCCGACACACGCGCTGCGTAGCCCTTCCACTCCTCCTCGTCCTCCCCGTCCCCCCCTCCTCCCCCCTCTTCCTCTCCCTCGTCCTCTTCCTCCTCCTCCTCCTCCTCCTCCTCCACCTCCTCCTCCTCCTCCGCCTCCTCCGCCTTCTCCGCCCCTCCCCCTCCTCCCCCTCCTCCTCCTCCTCCTCCTCCTCCTAAATCCTCCTCCTCCTCTCCCTCCTCCTCCGCCTCCTCCTCTCCTAATCCTCCCTCCTCCTCTCCCTCCTCCTCCTCCTCCTCCTCCTCCTCCTCCTCCTCCTCCTCCTCCTCCTCCTCCTCCTCCTCCTCCGAATGCAAATCCTCCTCCCTGCTGTCGCCCTGGGGGCCCCTCATGACCTCCCGGTGGCACACTGCACGGCAGTACAGGCGGGGACCTCGCGACGGAGCGCCTCCGCCGACACGGCGCCACCTCGCGGCTACAGTCGACCCGTATGATGAGGGCGCACGGTACTAGACGAGCGCGTTCCACTACTCGCAAAGCAGCTACTCGCAAATCGCCTGGATCCGTCGCAGGGGGTCTGCGATAAACTGTATCAAAACAGACGTGTACGTTTCGGGCGTTTGCGAGTAGGCACTCTGCGGGTCGTGGAACGCGCTCGGCGAGAGGAGGGTGCAAGGGCCTCGGGAGGCCATGCCTGCACTTTGCGGCCGTGGGCGCGGCCAGCGAAAGCGGCCAAGGCTGGGCCGAAGGGGAAGGATGCAGGGGCAACGTGGAAAAGAAGCCGCTCGCCCCGACCAGCCATGACTGGGGGAGCTGTGGTCCTTACCCCCCCTGGGGGAACCCATCGCATCGACGATCTCTCAGGGCGATGGCTTCCCCCCCAGGGAGAGGAGGGAGGAGGGAGGAGGGAGGAGGGAAGAGGGAGGAGGAGGAGGAGGAGGAGGAGGAGGAGGAGGAGGAGGAGGAGGAGGAGGAGGAGGAGGCCCCCCCAGGGGGGGTAAGGACCGCCGCTGCCCCCGTTGTGGCTGGCCTGGCCGCCCCTGCTGTGCGGGTCGGCTGTGCTCCCGGCCGCCCTGCCGCCCGGACGCACCGCGGCGCGCGATCGGCGGGCACCGCCGCCAGCGCGCGTCTGGCCGTGGGGGCCACGCCGCGCGCAGGGCGCTCCTCCGTCTTTCTGTGCCCCCCAGCCGCGCACGGCGCTCCCCCCCCCATGCGGTCAGGAGGCAACTGCTGGGCGGTTTTCGTCGGAAAGATTACGGAGGATTCAGCCCCATCTGGGAGCTGTTACGCCGGAGTGGGCTTCGGAGTCAGCGGGATTGAGCCGGACTTCGCGGGATTAGGCAGGATTGAACGGGATTCAGCGGGATTAAGCGGGATTAGGCGGGATGAAGCAGGATTTTATCTCCCAGGAGTTGCATCCCAAAGACTGGGCACGACACATAGGGAACATGTCGAAATCCGTCTTTCGTCACACTCCCTCCTCTCCCCCCTGCCTGCCAGGCGAGCGCTCAGGGGAGAAGGGGAGGACGAGGGAAGATGAAAGAGGAGGGAAGAGGTCGAGCAGAAGGGGAGAGCGCCCCTCCCTCTCCTCCTTCCCCCCCTCTTCCATGCCAGACGTGCACTGCAATAACATAAACAAACGCTCGCCATGCTGCAAAGAACCACAGCCAACTGCCGCCGAACACACTGGCGAACATCGCGAAACCCTCGGCCGGGGGGGGGGGGGGAGGCCGCACTCACGACGGGACACCACGCGCACAGCATGTCCACGGACGGGCTCTTCGTGCATCCCACTGCTTCCTGTAAATCGGGCGTGTCCCTCTACAGGAGGAACATTCAAAGATAGTTGAAAAATAGTATGGGGACGATGTTTATGTTATTCTCGACTATGCTTGAGTACTTTTGGATGTGTTTTAATTTTTCGCCCAAAATCCGCCTGTAGGAGGACACGCCCGACTTAGTATGCTTCCTCCCTGCTGCTGAACACGCTCCCCCACATCCTCCCCGGTCATCATTCTCACTCTCAACCTCTTCCTCCTCTTCGTGCTCCACCTCCCCGCAAGATGTGTCCTTTGGTATCCCCGAGAAGATGGAAAAGGAAAAGACGAAATGGCAAGTCTACGTGTTACGTACTTTTCATACTGCTGTAGTTGTGCTGGGCACAACCACATGTTCCCCTGCCTTGCTGCTGGCACGTCCCTCTAGATTCATGGCCAACCCGTCCAGTCCGCCCGTCACGCACGTACCGCACTCTTGCACCCTGATCAGAACGCAAACGACTATTGTTTGCTCCATTGCCTCTGGTCGGCTGGCCTGGGGATTGCCAGCAAGGCTGCGCCAAAGCACACCAATGCACTGGCGCCCCCCGAGGCTTGGCTGGGCGACGGGGAGGAGGAGGAGGAGGAGGAGGAGGAGGAGGAGGAGGAGGAGGAGGAGGAGAGGCGGAGATAGAGGAGGAGGAGATAGAGGAGGAGGAGGAGGAGGAGGAGGAGGAGAAGGAGGATGAGGAGTAGGAGATAGAGGAGGAGGAGGAGGAGGAGGAGGAGGAGGAGGAGGAGGGCCCAGATTCCTGAAGCCTGGGCGAGGCGTCGAGGACCCGAGCGCGCTGCATTGAGGCCCCACGTGTCAGCGGGGATCCCCAGACGCCCTGGTGCGAAGTTAGGCGTGGTCACCTCGCTCATCCCTACTTTTAGGTCGGGCCTGTCCCCCTACAGGGGGATCTTGGACGAAAAAAAAATACCCCAACATTCCCCAAAATTGCAAAAATACAGAAAATAGTCCCCAGACTATTTTTGACTATTTTGGAATATTCCTCCTGTAGAAGGACACGCCCGACTTAACCCTACTTGCAACCACCCCGCGCGAGTATGCTGACCATACCACCCGTCGCATTGGGCCACTGCCGCCGCGCTGGCTCACTGGACCCCGAGGAGGGGGTGATGTTCGAGATGTTGGGTTCAGCGCTCTTTTCGTGTTCCTCCCCTGGTGTGGCCGAATCCCTGAGTAGCATAAGGAACCCGAGAAACGTACACAACTACTATAGAATTGCATGCGATGTCGGACATTCACGCCACTGATCCTAAGTGCATCAGAAATGACACCAATCAAATACGTATGCGCCCCTCCCGGACAAACCACTCCCAAACACTCCCATACGCGCTTCAGTTCACACCACGGCCGTCAGGATACAGACAACCACAGATCGCAGCCAAACTGAGACCTGGATCTTCGATGGCCACTCGCAAAAGTACCATTCTTGAAACGACGCGTCATTCACGCGCATGCGATGTCCACTTCTTCAGGAGGCAACTCCTGGGAGGATTTCGTGATAACGATCATGGGCTGTTAAGCGCGATTCACGGGCCACTCATACGGATTAGCCCAGAGTCGTTCGGATTAGGCAGGACTAAGCGTAACTCAACGGGACAATGCCTGTTTCGGCGTGTTTCCGACAACGGATACATCAGCGCCGATGCCGAATGTAACCTCCCAATAATTGCATCCTAAAATCCTGGGCATCAACAAATACCGATACCTTTACTTACTACCGTGACTCTGCCAGATGCGCTCCGACTAGAATTTCGAGGCGAATCCAGCCGTGGCGAAAGTGGCCCCCGAAGAGGCCCCGACAGCCGAAATCGGGGGATGTGACTCGCACTGCGTATTATCCTCTCGGGTGCGGCGGGCGGAGCGCCATGAACATGCTGAGGAACGAGCCGGGCAACTTCCGGCCCATTCTGCGCCCCTTCGAGACCGAGGCGCAGAAATCCTCGGGCGAAGGGTGCGAAGCTCCATCGCCGGGGCAAGAGCGGGGCGCTCACCAGCTGACGCGTGAGGGCTTCCGCCCGCCCGTTCGCAGCGTGCGAGTCTACACTCTTACCAGTTGGCCCCTGAGCTCCGCCAGATTCAGTCGACAGAGCCAGGCTGGCCGTCAAACAGAATTGCGCTCCAAAGGATGAGCTGATAACAATGACGGGCAATGAACAAGGCGACTCGTTGGACGGAACGGGGGCAGAACAGACGAGAACAATATCCAAACAGAAGGAGCGCAGAGATGCCATGGGACGGCTTACGATGGCGCAGCCCACACGACATGCCAGACGAATTGACGAGACAGACGGCATGAACAAGAGCTAGCTTAAGGGCAATGTGAAAATTGAACTACGAAACGCTGAACAATGTGAACTTAACGGCAAACTTGGATGCAGTGCAAACGGCATAGACAATACACCATCGACATGACACATAAAATTCGACTGCCTAAGAATCCAACCCTTCGCAACTTCATGCAAAACTGGTGACGAACCTCTCTTTGCACGATCCGTGCGAAGAATATGTCGAAACGGGCGGGGAAACATGGGGGGAACGATCTGTGAAAAGAGTGTGCCAACATTTACTCCCGACCACGGCTTGGAACCAACTCGCCGCCGACAAAAAGTGCCAAATATTGTGGGCGAAGACCGTGCGGAACCTGCCTCTGGCGCCATCGGTGAAGCTCCGTGAGGGGCACGAAACGTGGAGGGGTGTGCGGAACATGTATGGGGAGACGCATGCAAACTTTACAATTGAATGACGATCAAAAACACGTCTTACGGGAGATGACGTAGCGACCTTACGACCTTACGCAGTGGCCTACGTCGGCCGCCAGCGCGGCACGCTACATTGGAGACGAGGGCGCTTACGCGCGACCTTACGCGAGGAGCTTACGCGCGAGTGTCGGCGCAGTCGAGCCCACTTTTTTGCGTCGCTCAAGTGGGGACGTAGGTGAAGTTCCCTGAAGGGCACGAAACGTGTCAGGGTTTTGCAAGCATTGGCGGGTGGACGCAAGCAAAGTCTCACACTGAGGTCGTAAAGGAAGCTCTCCAAGGGGCACGAAACGTGCCAGGGGTACGTCGAAGTGACTGGGGAAATGGATGCAAACTGTCCCACTGGGGCTGCAAATGGTGCTCGTGTGAGGGGTGTGCCGCAACAAGCGGAAGTATGCATGCAACATTTACCACTGCGGCCGTAATTTGAGTTCCCTAGGGGGCGATACTCGTGAGGGGTCCGCCGAAATGGGCGACGCCGCCATGCGGAACCTCCCACTGGGCCGTAGGTGGAGCTCACAACAGGGCCACGAAACTTGTGAGGGGTGCGCCGAAATGGGCGGCGCCACCATGCGGACCCTCCCACAGGGGCCGTAGATGGAGCTATCTATGGGTCACCACCGTCATAAATGGTGCACCTAAAGGGGCGGCGCCGCCATGCGACCCTCCGGCTAGGAGGAGTAGGTGGAGCTCCCTTTGGGCCCACGGTCCTCGTGAGGGGTACGCCGAAAGGGGCGGCGCCGCCATGCGGACCCTCCCACTGGGGCCGTAGGTCAGTCAAACAGTCAGTTGGTCAATCACTCAGTCAGTCAGTCAAGCCCAGCACTCCAACGGCACTTTGGCTAATACACATGACGCTAACAAAAAACATTGGCGAATAAAACTAATGACGCCACTCTGCGGAGGGAGGGGACGAGCGGGCGGAGAGAGAAGAGAAGGAAGAGAGGAGGGAGAACTGAAACATCACACTACGAGTCAATGCTCTCGAAGAAACTCAAAAACGCAAGGGGCACACCGCTGTTTCAGCCTCTCCCTGCGTCGTCGGTGCGCCCATCTTCTGGGCATGTCCGTGCTAGGCTGGCACATTAGAAGGCTTAGGGGATCGTCTCCGGCCAACACTGCAATTTTCTTGTACAACGCTGAACGCTGTTGGGGGGGGGGCTCCCTGTACAGCAACAGTCCTCGTGAACTGTGCGACGAAATGGGCGGCGTCGCCATGCGGACCTTCCGGCTAAGGGACGCAAATGGAGCTCCCTTTGGGGCCACGAAGCGTGCGAGGGGTGCGCCGGAATGGAGGAGGCGCCGCCATGCGAACCCTTCCACAGGGGCCATATGTGGATCTCCCTGTGGGGGCACGAAACGTGTGAGGGGCGTGCTAAAAATGACATGCGGAGAGCAGCGGTAGGGCGAGGAGGAGGAGGAGGAGCAGGAGGAGGAGGAGGAGGAGTTGGAGGAGGAAAAGAGGAGAAAAGGACGAGAAGGAGAGGAGGAGGTGAGGAAGGCGCTACGAATTCAAAACAAGAACCCGACTTCACACGTACGGGTTTGGAATAAGACAGGGACACGGGAAACTCTGGAAAGCCAGATGAAGCCAGGCGATGGCTACAATAAGATCGTCATTTAGACGGCGCGGCAAATTCGACCCAACCGAACCTCATGGCGAGGCACAAGCTAATGCCAGATGGCCAACTTGAGTACCGGCAACATAAGAAGCACTTCTCCTGGTGAAATGCTCGCGGAGGAGGACGGGCCCCCCTGTGGTGACACGACACGTGTGAGCGGCGTGACGAAACGGGCGGGGCATTGCCATGAGGCCCTGCCATTGGGAACTTTAATGGAACTCCATATTATCCGAGGCCGCGTCTCGCAACTACACATGGCGCTCGGAAAAATGGCCGACAGGGGGATAGGCCGCCATTCGAACCCTGCCGCTGGGGGCTTCCGATTTATTTTTTGTTTCTTCTTCAACTCCTGCTCCTCTGGTGCATGCCAATGCCGGTGCCGCGCGGAGGCGGAGTGCCGACCCGTCACGTTGCAGGAAAGACCGACGGGCCCTCGACCTCACCCCGTTCCAACCTCCCCGCACGGCGGGCGCCACGCTGGCCGCTGCGGCGGTGCCCAGCGCACGGGGAATGCGGAAGCTGCAGGTCAAGAGAGGCGCGAAAGCCGCCTCGTCGAGGCTGGAACTTCACACGCACGGGCGATGTCGAAAAAAAGCCACGACACAGGTGAGAATGTGGACTACGTTGGGGCCCGAAATGGGGGGTGCGCCGCCATGCGGACCCTTCCGCTAGGGCGTTCGGTGGAGCCCCTATGGGGCGATTTAGCGTGTGAACAGGTAGGCCGGAGGATCTGGCCTGTGGCGCGTTCGGCGGAGCTCCCTATGCGGCTGGTGAGCTGAAGGCTGAGCAATGAACCCCGCATGCTGCCACTGTTCGTTAATAGCAGTTGCCATTAGACTAAGCACTGCAAACTCTTTGTTCGAGCAACAACAGGTAAGATGACATCTGTTCGTAACGGGTAATATGCTTCCCAAGTGCAAACTCAGTCCGATAGCGGTCCATGAGACGAGAAGCCAATGCATGGGGAAGCGCGTTGAGTACCTGTATCTCGGTGTCCATGACAGCGATGACATCCATATCGATCACCATGGGATAATTCAACTCAACAGCCACGGTGAAAATTCCTCGGCCAACTCCCCCGCATATTTCATCCATGGGTGTCCCCTCTATCTCACGGTCACGAATATTGATCTGGCATGTGCTCCTGAATGCTTCAACCTGCTGTCTCTCTCTCTCTCTCTCTCTGTCGATCTCTCTCTCTCTCTCTCTAGCTCTTTATGTGTCTTTCTATGTCTCTCTCTCTCTCTCTCTACATGTCTCTCTCTACGTGTCTCCCCCTCTCGGCTCGACGACAGGCTCACGAGGTCTTCCTGCTATCGCCAAAATGTTGCTGCGTGCGTTGCCAAATCATCGTGCTATGAGCCGCGGCTCTACCCCTGTTCTGCGCCTTCTCCCAGCACTGCTCTACCCCTTTTCTGTGCCTTCTCCCCGCACTGAAAAGCTGGACAGCCTAAACATGGATAGTATTAATTAAAATTGCAACACGGCAAACACGATGGTGCCGCCACTGTATGGCTAGCATGCCTCTGTCCCGCTCGGGTCCAACACTCGACGCCCTTCAGAGCACCAATAAATCGATGCCAATTGCCATCAACGTGTTCTTATGTATGCTTACACAACAAACTCCAGATCATGGTATGCTCCCGATTTCAGATACGGTCACTCCCCACATCTCCTTTAAATAAAGACAAGCCGCTTCGATCGCACCATATCATTGTGCTCAGAATCTTCTTAGCCTGTCCGGTAACAACGGAGGCGATCAACATCACGACTGCGAAGAGATGCCACCACACATGGGGCGGTGAAAAGGTAACATTGATAGACCATGTGCCCATCCAAACCGTGCTGCCCTCGTATGAATCCGACACTACGTGCACAAATAGATGAACCAAAATGCGGTACCAAATGGCCTGGAACTTGCGTGCCAACCTAGCGCTGGCGACACTTACCGTTAGGTCGGGCATGTCCCCCTACAGGCGGACTTCGGGCGAAAAATAAAAAAGATTATACAATACTCAAGCAATACACTAACATAGTCAAAATATCGTCCCCATCATATGCTGTACATAGTTTTGAATAGAAAGACAACGCCCGACTTAAACTTACCGTGGGTGGCGATTACCGTTCCCCCTGTGTTATCCGCAGAAATCCGAATGAAGAAATCCATTTCCGAGGGGAGGGGGGGGGGGAGAACCGCCGAGCAAGATCGCTATAGCACGGCAACGAACTCGTCGGTGGTGGACGTGAGAGCAAGACGGCCCAAGAGAAGCACGTGGGGGAGTCCCATGCTGGAGTCCTACTGGGATCCGCTCGTGCTGGGATCTTCTTTGAACCCTATAGGGATAATAATCAGAATCCGATAGGGATCCGATTTGGATCTTAACAAATTCATGCTCCAATCCTCTCGGGCCTTCATGGGAACCCGGTGGGAGTCTTGTTGGAATCCCATTGAGATCTTGGTGGAATCCCGCACTGAGGGGTCCAGGGGCGGGATATCACTTCCAGGGGCGAGAGGCGATATATTTTCGCCGAAAGGAGCGGAGTTCGATCATCGCCGCCCACGGCCTCGCTCGGAATCGGGGAGAGAGCGTGATCCACCGCCGCTTTACTGTGGAAAATTGCCGCCCTTTTCCTCCGGAACCCGGGGGTCCCTCCCCCCCCTCCGAAAATCCCCCCCCCCCCCCCCTGCTGGAACCCCTCCCCCCCCCCCCCCCCCCTTCCCCCGGCAAAACCCCCCCTCCCCTAACCCCCCCCCCCCTCGAACTCGAAAACCGGGGGGGGTCACTACCGGTTCGAACCCCCCCCCCCTCGAAAACCGAGGGGGGGTCACTACCGGTTCGAACCACTGAGCTGTCCCACTGTTCCCACCACTGTCCCCACTGTCCCTACCACTGTCCCCACTGTACCTCTGTCCCATTGTCCCACCGCCGTCCTCGCCACCGCCTTCACCACTGTCCCCACCACCACTGTACCCTCCACTGTCCTACTGTTTCCACCACATTCCCACTGTCCCCACACCACTGTCCCCACCACCACCGTCCCCACCACTGTCCCACTGTCCCCACTGTTCCCACCATTGTCCTCACCATTGTCCCCACCACTACCGTCCCCACCACTGTCCCACTGTCCCCACCACTGTCCCGCTGTCCCCTCACCACTGTCCCCACCACCACCGTCCCCACCACTGTCCGCACCCCCCCTCGGTTTTCGAGGGGGGGGAGGGGTTCGAACCGTAGTGACCCCCCCCGGTTTTCGAGCTCGAGGGGGGGGGGGTTCGAACCGGTAGTGACCCCCCCCCACCCCCCCCTTTTCATGATGAACTGGGGGAGGGGGGGGGAGGGGTTCGAACCGGTAGTGACCCCCCCCCGGTTTTTCGCCAGCAGCGGTAGAACACGCTCTTTCGAATCGGGAGACGGATTCGAACTATCGTCCAATTCCCATGGTCCGACTAGATTCACGGCCGACGTTGGCCCGCTGCCCCGTCGGTGCCACCTTCCCTGTGAGTATTGAGATGCAGCGTCTGTGACTGGAGAGGGCACAAGGAGCCTGAAAGTATCGAAGAACCTACAAGACAAGTTTCTCCAGGACTAGAGCCTGTTTTTTTTAGACTCTGGCAAGTTTACTTGCATGGACGGGGGGGGGGGCTGAGCCTGAAGCCAAGCCCGGGGGGGGGGGGGGGGCGCGGAAATCACGCAAGTCGAAAGGCACTTGCACGCTAGTATTCACGCTAGTATTCGCTTGAAGAGGGGCGAGGGGGGGGGGGGGGGGCGAACGCCATGCAAGCAAACTTGCCTGAGTCCAAAAAAAACAGGCTCCTAGAGTTCCTCCTGCCGGCCAGCAGATGCTCACAACCTCTGCGCCACAGAAACCGCCTGTCTCAAGGGAGAGGGCTGGAGCAGTGCAGCCGGCAACTGCCTGCCCCCCTGGGCTGGAATCAGTGTCGCCAGGACTTACCCACCTCCTCTCTGCTCCGAGGCATGCCAGTCGAAGGCCTGGGGAGGAGGCCAGGGTCGGGGTGGACGAAAGGGTGAGGGAGAACACTATGATTAAGCTGGGCGTGTCCCCCCTGCAGGGGGATGTTGGACGAAAAATCTAAGACTACCCAACGAATATTCAAAAGTAATTTTTAAAAATACCCAAACAAATCTGTCCAAGACTATTGTCTGACTGTTTTTGAATATTCCTCCTGTAGAGGAAAGGCCCGGCTTAACACTACAGGGAGGGACCGGCTCAGGGGGGGGAAGCATCGAGCTGGGCTGGTCGGCAACACATCGCCGACAGGCCCCCGACATGATGTTCCAACCTGCTGTAGCCTTGGTAACCAGAAAGAAATCCGAGCACCCAGAAAGCACGGAAACTTGAGGGTTTTCACGTGCCGGGCCCTGGGAGGTCACGCTCGCTCGACACTGTTGTTCGACACTGCTCTGGGTGCTCGAGATCATTTCTGGGATGTGGTCCTGAAGTGCGATGGGAGCAGCATGACCCCGATCGCGAAATCGCACATTCCTGAACGGGGGGGGCTATCGGGCACGTGTCGGCGATGAATGTTCGCTTGGGGGGGCGATGCGCTCACGCCTGAGCCCCCCTCTCACGTTGCCCCCCGAAGGGGGGGTGTTGGCCACTCAGCTGCACGCAGCTGGATGTCCTGGCGCCTGCAGGTGCTGGAAGAAACCACTGCGTGGAGAAAAAGCCCTGCCTGAGGGGCCGAAGCCGTCCCTCCCTCCCCCCACCTCCCTTCGCCCGCCCCGACTGGAGACCTCCTGCATCCAGAAGGATCATGGCGAGGATGTGGGCTGGGAGGTGTAAGCTTCCCTTGTCTCGCCAAGAGCCAGCCCTCGACCCGCGCGTCGGCCCGCAGATGGCAGGTCGCGGCGCGGACGACGCGGCACTCGTCAAGCTCGACCTGGCTGCTGGAAGGGGCACCTGACCTCCTCGGATGGGCCCCCGCGATTGCCGACTCCGAACTCCTAGGCAGGCCAGGCTTGACTCCTGCTGGAGGGCCGACCTCTTCTTGCGCCAGCCTTCCACTGGCAAGGCCGCTCTCGCTTTCCTTTCCGCCGCCTGCGACCGAGGGCGTCGAGACAACACAATACCCTCGAATCGTCCACAGAAACTGCCGTCTTCCCCGCTGAGGCAAAGGGGGCCCGACCATGCCGAGCACCGGACAGGGAGGAGGAGGAGGAGGAGGAGGAGGAGGAGGAGGAGGAGGAGTAGGAGGAGGAGGAGGAGGAGGAGGAGGACGCGGAGCTTCATGGCTCTAGCCCTCGTTTACAGACCAGCCCCCAGATTGTAGATTAAAGGAGGGGAGCGAGGAGGAGGAGACACATGCTCGTCCTGGGGAACTTAGATGTAAGGAATGGCCCGTGAACCAGAGTGGTACTCCTCCTCCTCCTGCTGCTCCTGCTCCTCCCCCCCTCCTCCTCCTCCTCCTCCTCCTCCTCCTCCTCCTCCTCCTCCTCCTCCTCCCCCTCCTCTCCTCCTCCTTTTTCCCTCCTCCTCCTCCTCCTCCTCCTCCTCCTCCTCCTCCTGCCTCCTCCTCCTCCTCATCCTCCTCCTCCTCCTCTCCTCCTCCCTCCTCCCTCCTCCCCCCTGCCTCCTCCCTCCTCTCCCTCTCTCTCTCCTCCTCCTCCTCCTCCTCCTCCTCTCCTCCTCCTCCTCCGCCTCCTCCTCCTCCCTCCTCCTCCTCCTCCTCCTCCTCCCCTCCTCCTCCTCCTCCTCCTCCTCCTCCTCCTCCTCTCCTCTCCTCCCCTCCTCCTCTCTCCTCCTCTCCTCCTCCTCCCTCCTCCTCCTCCTTTTTCTCTCCTCCTCCTCCTCATCCTCCGCCTCCCTCCTCCTCCTCCTCCTCTCCTCCTCCTCCTCCCTCCTCCTGCCTCCTCCCCTCTCCCCTCCTCCTCCTCCTCCTCCTCATCCTCCTCCTCCTCCTCTCCTCCTCTTCTCCTCCTCCTCCTCCCCTCATCTCCTCCCTCCTCCTCCTCCTCCTCCTCCTCCTCCTCCTCCTCCCTCCTCCTCCTCCTCCTCCTCCTCCTCCTCCTCCTCCTCCTCCTCCTCCTCATCCTCCTCCTCCTCCTCCTCCCCTCCTCCTCCTCCTCCTCCTCCTCCTCCTCCTCCTCCTTTTTTCCTCCTCCTCCTCCTCCTTTTCTCCTCCTCCTCCTCCTCCTCCTCCTCCTCTCCTCCTCTCCTCCTCCTCCTCCTCCTCCTCCTCCCCCCCGAACCCAAGGCGGTCCTCATCTCAGCGGGCCCACGAAAGGTCCCCAACACGAACACCGAAGAAGACGGCTGATGGCCACAGCTTCCGTGCCCTGGGCCCATCGGGATCGCGGCTTGCAATTCTGCCGATCAGCACGGCGACGCTGCCCCCCGCCGTCCTCCTCACTGGCGTTGCACTCCACGAACCTCATCTGGTCATCCAGCTCCTCCGAGAATCTCCTCCCCAACCCTCGCGGAGGCAGCTCCCCGTCCAGCCATCGTGCTACCAGAGGGAACGCACAACAAAGAACGAATGGGGCTTGCCTGGCCACGGTAAGGCCTAGGCCACAAACAAATCCCACAACATGAATCTAAGGAGCGGCCGGAAAACAAACCGAGCCCATGCTGGGATCAACGCCATCCTTCTGCCAGGGTCTCTTGACTGTAGGCCGCCAAACATTGCGCACAGCGCAGTGCGCGGCTGCCTTCGCGCCCTCGCGCAGCCACCCTGGAGAGAATGGCGCATCTCAGACCGGGGCCGCCGCGGTGCGCGAAGCGGGATAAGCTTCGCGTCCCTGAGGGTTCGCCTAGCTCCCTCACGGAGGCATTGCCCACATCCACCTCATATGGAAACGGTCCCCAGATGATATCGCGGAGGCGTGAGGAAAGAAAGCGAGAGACATCAACAGCAGGCCAGATCACTATCGCGACGTGAACCAGGATGAGCCCATCGCGACTCCACGCCACGTAAGGGCTATCTTCCTTCCAAAGTAAAACAATGCAGCTCTGAGCCATACAACGCAACACAACGCCGAGACTTGCTTGGCGTTGCTTTGCTTGGCCTTGCTTGGCATTGCCTAGCATTGCGTTGGATTGCTTGGTATTGCTTGGCATTGCTTGGGATTGTTTGGGGCATTGCTTGGCTTCTTGGTACTGCTTGGCATTTCTTGGCAATTGAGTTGCAATGCGTGGCACTGCTTGGCGTTTGCTTGGAATTGCGTGGGATTGCTTGGGGGTGCCTAGGCAACGCTGGGCGTTGCCAGACATTGCTTGTCAATGCTTTGCTTGGCCCCAAGCAACCCCGAACAACTCCACGGGCCCACCGTGCACCCCTGGGCAACCCTGGATAGAGCCAGGCGGGAAGGGCCCCGCACCCACTGGTTTCTTCTACAAGCAAGCACGAGCCCCCTAGGCCACGCTTACTTCGGCGGTGGACAAACCTCCCTTTAGTGAACCTCCCCTTAGTGAAAACGGCCTGGGGCCGAAATCGACGGACCTGGACCCGCAAAAATGACGGCCGCGACGCCCTCTTGCGAACCGAAAACGACCAATTCCTTAATCGACGTGTCAGGGTAGGAGGTCTATCACCCTCCGATTACTTGGGGGGTCAACAGCTGAGGGTTGTGGCGCGTTCCAACCTCTTGGGATGGACTCGAAGACCGTCAAAGAAGTAGCCAGGATGAGAAACAAGTCCTGTGGAAAGGGTCGAGGCAGCCGGGGGCCCTTTGTCAAACATTTGAAGCTGGCGACAGCAATTTGAGCTCGTCTCCCTTCCAAAGAAATTCAGTGCAGGTACGACCAATGCGAAACAAGGCATCGTTTCGAATTGTTTAGCAATGCGTGGAATCGTTGCTTGGCATTGCTTGCTTGGCATTGTTTTGCATCGGCTTTGCATTGCGTTGCATTGCCTGGCATTGCTCTGCATTGCATTGCATTGCTTCGGGTTTATTTCGGATTGTTAGGAACATACGTCATACGTGGCTTGGCCTTGCTTTGCATTGCTTGGCATTGCTCGTGGATCTGGGAGGGTGTCCTAGGCGAGCGTCCTGGGGGGTCCCAAGGAGGTATCCTGAGTGCGGGCTACCCTGGGGGGCTGTTCTGGCGGTGGCTTAAGCGCGTCTGGGGGTGGTCTTGAGGAGGAGAGAGGTCTCGGGGAGTCCTGACGGGGATTGGTCCTGGGGGCGTTCTGGGCGCGATCTGGGGGGGGGGGAGCGGTGAGGTGTCCTCAGAGAGGGGTGTCCTGCGGGGGTGTCCCGGCGGTGTTCTTGGAGGGGGTTCCGGGAATGGGGAAATGCCAGGGAGTCGTGTTGAGGGGGGCCGATGAGGCGTTCTGAGGGGGGCGTCATAAGGGGGGCGTTCTAGGGGCGCGTTGCTTTGCATTGCTTGTTAATGCTTGGCGCTGCTTGGAATTGTATTGTTTGGCAACCGGAGGGACCTCGGGAAGACCCGGGCAACGCCAGGAGCCGAGGAACCCCAAGGAACCCTGCGGAACCCCGGGCAACGCAGGGGGCGAAGGATCCCGCACCTAACTGTCGCTCACAAACTAGCAAGACCCTATTCGGCAAAACCTGGATGGAGAATCACGACGTCAGAGGTGTCTGCGGGCTGCCTGGCAGCTGCGCGCGAGCCTAGCAAATACTGCCCGGAAGCTGCCCAGGAGCTGCGCACGAGCTTAGGAAGCCTCGTGCAAGGTGTGTGTGTGTGTGTGCGTTTTCAAATGGGACGCGTTGGATGGTGCCTTCTGGGCCTCTCCTTGTACTTTCAGCGCCGTTATTCACAGCCCCACATGGCTTCGGCATCTTCCATGTGCATTGGCTCTGGCCTCCCTTTTTACTTACTGCAAGCGTCAGCCGGGTCCTGACCCCCCAACCGCAACTCCTGATGGTAATCACCCTGGGCGTGTCATGCCCTAGCACTTCGCTGTGTTGAATCAACTGGCTGCTGGCAACAAAAAGTGTGTGTGTGTATGTGTGTATTTCGAGCGGTGGCCTCAAGTACACCCTCCTCTGAACCTTGCGCGCTTCCACTTTTGCTTTCCGATCAATTCCCTCCTGCGCTGCGTAGATTGAAATTCGTCGGGGCCGAAAACATGTCTACGTCTCTCTTGCTGGCCTTCAGACGTAGTCCGTGTTCTATTGTCGGCTGTGCAAGTTTAACGTGGGTAAAATGAAGCATTCCCTGTGGAAATTCATAAAGAGGCATAAGCCATCGTAAGGAATGAAGCTAGACGAGCAAGAACTTGTGGACAACGAGCTGTGGTGGACGAATATGGGCAACTGTCACTGAGATGTTGTTAAAGGTAACGGGCTTCACTGACTCGTCCTCGAGGTGAGCCTGTATACTCATCATCTGAATACTTACTATGCGGGCTGAACTATGGGCCTAACTAGACGAGGTCGACCTGTTGGGTAACAGCTGAATCATGACTGGAGCATGCCGAACACCTTGTTTAGAGATGCACGGTGGCCAGGTCTGCAGCCACGATGGTGAACCATACAACAATGCGATGGTGACGCAGCTGCAAACGTGGCCGGGCCAGCACAACAACTGGAACCATCCGATCGTGCGCGGCTTGCTCAAGCTGGCCAACAGATATATGCAGGCGGCGGGATCGCAAGACGGAATCCTTGCTCATCGTCCTCGAGATCAGACTTCGCGGAACAAGATCAAAACGTCTCGGAACGACACGTCCAGAATTCCCAGCACGATCTTTACGATCACATCTCCCCGCGCAATCTTCATGCGGGATGCATCAAGCTGAGCCGATGTGGGGCAGAAGCGCCTGTCGTTGTTCGTCTTCTTGTCAGTTGTTTGTTTCGGGCGAGACATGGGCGTAAGGATCGAAAGGCTCCTCATCCGAACACAGCAGATGCCCCCCCCCCGCCTAGTGAGCCGAGGGCCCTCGTGAGTCTGGACCACTCGAGCGCGCTCGTCCTTGTCCAGGGACTGCCACAACTCAGACAGCCTCTCCACGAGGGGGCGGCGAGGACAGGACCACGAGGGAAGCCAACTGCTCACCTGCACAGATCCTGGCCAGGCCCCTTCTGTGCCAAGCAACGGTGTACACGTTCACGTTCACGGCACAGGCACCAGTTGTGGACTCAACTGGCCAGTCCCTGTGCAACTGTGCAAAAGAAACCCACAAAAGGACGTATGCGCCCAACCACGTACATGAATACGGCCCCCCGATCCGCGAGGACTGCCTCATGTTACAAACGGTCGCACAATGCGTACTTTCGAAACCATCGTGGATTCAGGTACGTGTACGTCCTTCTTTCCGCTCCAGAGTACAAGTGGCCTCCCCAGAAGGTCGACATGGCAACGAGAACTCGGTAGACTGATCGCGGACGGTCGCTCTGAGGAGGCTTGGACGAACGAACGAACGAAGCTGCCGTCGCTGGGAAGGGCCCGCGTTCCTGCAAGGGAGCCACCAAATCAACAGACATGGCGGCCTCCCGAAATGGGCTCGAGTCGATGGTGTGGGAGGACCGTTCCACATCGCAAATGCATCGCCGATGCACCAGCGATGCATAGGCGACGTCGGCGATGCATCGGAGCCGTTGGCGTGTGGCAGTTCGGTCCCCACATCGAGCCGCATCGCCGATGCATCGGCGACGCGGCGCTATCCTTCGACCCCACCTACCTCCATCCCCGTTTGGGAGGCCTGAACATCCCGCCAGGATGTCGTTGGATATCCCTGGCCGCGTGACCCAGTCTGGTCAGCATCGACCTTCTCCCGCCCTGGAGGTCTCCAAGGATCTCCAGAGCTCGAGGGCCCCCGCGCATCTCCAGGAGGCTGTCAGAGGCCCTGGAGGCCCAAAACGCATCCAACACAGGACAAACCATTGATCCTCGATCCTCCTCCTGCTTCGCCTCCTCTTCGGGAACTTTTGTTCCCCATATCCTAAGATGGGGTTATTGTTATTATTTGGACGCCTCCTACTCCTTCTTCTCCCTCTTCTCCTTCTCCTCCTCCTCATACCCAGACTTACTCACACTCAGATTTACTTATACCCAGACTTACTCAGACACAGACTTAGTCATACTCAGACCTGTTCATAATCAGACCTGATCCTACTCAGAGTTATTCATGCGGAGACTCACTCATGCCCAGATTAATTAATACTCAGACTTGTTCCCAGACTTACTCATACTCAGACCTGCTCGCACTCAGACCTTTTACTTGTCTCATATATTCCACATACACAGCAGATTGTGAGGATGTCTCAGGCGGGGCGCTGGCTTCAGCCCCCCTAGCGGGAGCCGCCAGGGGTGTTTTCACGGTTCCGTTCGCAGCAATGTCGTGGGGATGTCTCAAGCGGTTTGCCTGCTTTCTGTCCCAGCATCCTTGGCTGTCCGAGCAGACTGGTTAGGATGTCTCAGGCGGGGCGCAGGGGGGCCGCCAGGGGTGTTTTCACGGTCCCGCTCGCAGCAATTGCGTAGGGGATGTCTCCTGCGGTTTGCCTGCACTCTGTCCCAACATCCTTGGCTATCCGAGCAGATTGGTGAGGACGTCTCAGGCGGGGCGCTGGTTTCAGCATCTCTAAAGGGAGCCGCCAGGGGTGTTTTCACGGTCCCATTCGCGGCCGTTTTGTAGGGATGTCTCAAGCGGTTTGCCTGTTTTCTGTCCCAGCATCCTTCGCTGTCGGAGCAGATTTGGGGGATGTCTCGAGCGAGGCGCTCACTTTCACCTCCCAGGTGGGCCAGATTTTGAGGATGTTTCGATCGGTTTACTTGTTTTGGTGGCCAGGCTCGTGGGCGCAGATTCTTCTCAGGATGCCACAAGAGGCTCCAACAGGCTCCAGGAGGCCCCAGGAGACCACATGAGGTCCCAGGAGGCATCAGGAAGCCACAGAAAGACTCAAGAGGCCACAGGACGTCCCAAGAGGCTCCAGGAGGCCCCAGGAAACTCCAGAAGGCCTCAGGACGCCACAGCAGGCCCCAGGAGGCCACAGGAAGCGCCAGGAGGCCTCGGAAGCCAACAGGAGGCCCCGAGAGGCCCCAGGAGCAGGAGGCCTCAGAAGGCATCAGGAGGTTAAGTGAGACACGCGTGCACTCAACGGAGGAGGGGAGGGGGAGGAGAGGAGGAGACAGGGACGGAGGGGAGATGTTTTACCACATGGCAGCGTGGAGACGCGCGCCTCCACCCGGGCACGGACCCCGGTGGTCCACGCCCGGCGCGCGTGCGTGGGCCCTGACGGCCCACGCGCTCGCGCTCTGGCACGCCTGCGGCCGCGCGGCCCAGGCGTCAGGGAGCAAAGCGGGGTGGGTGGGCACCCGCGCGTCGGCCTGAGCCGAACGCTACGGACCCAAAATGGCTACCTGAGCCCACACCCCCTCCCACTTAACCTGCAGTCTACAAACCAATCAGACTATACAAGTTAAGTGAGATACGCGTGCACTCAACGGAGGGAGGGGAGGAGGAGGAGAGGAGGAGACAGGGACGGAGGGGAGATGTTTTACCACATGGCATCGTGGCGACGCGCACCTCCACCCGGGCACGGACCCCGGTGGTCCACGCCCGGCGCGCGCGCGTGGGCCCTGACGGCACACGCGCTCGCGCTCTGGCACGCCTGCGGCCGCACGGCCACGAGAAAGTAAAAGCGCAGCAGCGCGCGCAGGCCGCCCCGCCAGAGGCACAGGGCGGGGCTCGAGGCCCGGCGAGCCCCGCGCGCGCGGCCACTAGCCTGCATCCCTGAGGCCTTCCGCGCCCCGCGCACCCAGAGCGCGGGCGCGGCGCGTGCGCGAAGAGCGCAAAGTAAGAAAGAAAAACGAAGCGGCGCATGATGCGCCGGGCGCAGAGCGCAAGTGTGGCCCCGCCCGCGCAGCGCGCAGGAAGAAGGGGGCCGCATAGCGCGCGACGTGCGCGCCATGTTCAGAACAACCTCTCACTCACGGGCCTGGGCCCGATTGGCGGTCCGCCTCAATGGGCCGCTGTCCTCCGCCCGCAGCCCGCGATGCCGCGGTCGCTGGCGTCGGGATGTGGGGGGTGCTGCCACGCCTAGATGGATGGCGTGTTCCCCTGGCGGCCACGGCCCTCGCCGCCGCTGCGATCTCCGCCGCGTTCACTGCGGCTGCGGGGGCTGCCGCCATCGCCGCCCCTCGACGCGCGGCTGCCCGCGCCGGGCCTGCCATGCTCGCTCGGGCCGCGGCTGCCCTGGTCGCCCTTGGAGTGGCCGCCCTCGCCGCCCTTGTCGCCCTTGCCGCGGCTCCTGGCGCCCTTGGCAGTCTTGCCGGTGTGCTTGCCCTTGACCTTGCCGCCCTTGCCGCCCTTGTCGCCTGCGCCCTTGCCGCGCCAGGCTGGGGCCCCTCCCCCGCCGGCGGCGGCCTCCGCGGCGGCTGCCGCAGCGCGCCTCCGCTTCTTCTCCTGCTCGCACCAGCCGCCGCGGGGAGCGCGAAGCTGCCCGGCGTGCTTCCCGGTCTTGCGCCGCGAGCGGCCGGGGGGGGGGTCGCCGCGACGCGCCCACGCTGGGTCCCGCGCCAGGCTGCGGCTGGGCGACCTCCCCAGACCCCCATCGAGTCATGTTTTTTTCACGACGGCCGCTTGCGTCATGAAAAAAATCACACGTCGCAAAAAAATCAAGACATTGGAAAAAAGGCATGGAAGCAGTAAGGGTGTCCAAGGTACGCAAGATATCATATGTACACATATATATGTATATATATATATATATACAAGATCTTGTTGGCTCGCTTCGCTTCGCCACAACATCTTGTCCCTCATCCTCATCCTTGGCGCAGGAGCGCTGGTCTGGTATCCCGCCGCGCTTTCTGGTCACAGAATGTGGCGAGCTCGTGAACTTCCATTGCCACGTGGGTGTAAATTTGATGTGTGTCGCGAGCTCAGCGGCTATGGGGGATGAAGCATGATGTTATTGCAGCACCGATTCGGAGGACAATGGGTTGGTGGCCGTGCCTGTGGTCGCGCTGGCGCTCGTGTTGGACACCGTGCCGGCGGGCGTGCTGGTGGCCATGCTGCTCGTTATGGTGGCGGTCGTGCGGGGGATGGTGCTTGTGGGCGGTGGTGCTAGTGGGCGGTGGTGCTGGCGGTCACGCTGGCGGCGTGCTTGTTGTCGTGCTGGTGGTCGTGGGGCCAACGTGGGCGTGGGTTTTCATCAGGAGTGAGCATGTAAGGCAGCCCACAGCCACCCGACGGGCCCAAACAATTTTTGGTTCACGTCGACGGCTGTTTTTTCGCACCGGGCCTCCTGGGCGTCTGGCGCCCTCCGGGCACGCCACGCCCTCAGGGCTGCGTGGGTGTGTGTTTTCGTAAGGCGTGAACATGTCCGGAAGCGCAGAGCCACCCGACGTGCCGAATCAACTTTTGCTTCACGTCGACGGGCATTATTTTCTTCGGGGCCTCGGATGGGGGGCTTCTGGCGCCCTCCGGGCACGCGGGCGCCGAGGGGCTGCCGTGTGTGTGTGTGTGTGGTGTGTGTGCGTGTGTGTATGTATGTATGTATGTATGTATGTGTGTGTATGTGTCTGTTCGTGCGTGTGTGTGTGGTGTGTATGTGTGTGTGGTGTGCGTGTGCGTGTGCGTGTGCGTGTGCGTGTGCGTGTGCGTGTGCGTGTGCGTGTGCGTGTGCGTGTGCGTGTGCGTGTGCGTGTGCGTGTGCGTGTGCGTGTGCGCGTGCGTGTGCGTGTGCGTGTG